TTCTTGTAACTATAAAGGATGGCAGGGATGGGGGTCAGATACTTTCTGGGACGGGATAGGGAGCCGCCCATTTTTCTAGAATCTTTAGCGATGAATGAGTCTCGTTTGTGAGGTGGTGAGAATCGGAGTACTATTAGATGCATAAACCAAGAGAATACAGTGGACGAATAAAGAGTTATGATAGAATGAGTGAATGTTTGAAGTGAGAAGAAATGAAACTTAATCAGTTGATTTGCCTAATAATCTGAGTCTTACTGTGAGACGAGAAGCGAGTGAATATTGCAAAGTGGAAAAATGGAGAAGAGCTAAAATAAGAAAAAATCGCACAAAGCAGGTGAAAAGGTGAATGAAAAAAATGCCTAATTTTATTGTTACATAAAAATAATTACTTCAAACCTGGTTAATATAGTGTGAATTGTAAGAACAAAAAATAAAAGGCTTATGAAAACGATTTCTGGAAAATAACGGTTTTGTTTTAATTAAATTCAGAACCTTGCATTCAGAATTGTGAATAAATTCTCTTATTGCAGAAATATTTATAGGGAAATAAGTTTTAAGACAGAAACACACACACACACACACACACACACACACATATATATATATATATATATATATATATATATATATAACTTATGCTCGGTCACTCTATTAGTGATACTGGTATCATGCAATCCTATACTACCTACCGCATGTTCGGATCATATGTGAGTAAACCGGTTCAACCACCAGGTTTTTCTCGTGAGGATAGTCGCTAGACAGGCATCAGAATTAAAAACAAGAACGCGTAAGAAGCGAATGAACTTTGTTTTAACACGATAAAGTACATTGGGTTCTATGGAAGTCATGAGAAAACCTGAGATATGTTAAAACCAGGCTTCGAACGATGAAGATTCCCCAGATATTAAACATCATCACTGGAATCCAGTTATTAGTCACAGCCATTTGTGGAGAGGAAAACATGAATACAAGGCATACATTTCATTTTACTGTCGGTTGCCTAACTATGAGGAACCAACTGTGGCACCAAACTATGAGAACAATTCAAATAAAGTGGTTTTGGGAAGTGGTGACTTCAAACGATAGATGACAACTCATCGAATTTCAAACGGCTGTATGCTAATTTAGGCACATAGGACTGAAGATCAGATGAACTCCTGATTTAAGCAGAATACTGAGAAACGTATATTGAAAATTGAAATTAAAACGAAGGGCGTCTGAGGTAAGTCGATTAGAAATCTAAGGAAAAGAGATAAGAAACGGAAATTTAAGAAAAAAAAACAACTACGTTTAGGAAGACGTTTTATTTTAAATAACAAACAACGTGCAAATGACTGAAAAGTTCAAAATATTACAAAGACAAACCGAGTGTTGACTCAAATCTGAAGTGTATAGAACGAAAGCTGAGTTAAAAAATTACTTAATCTTATGGCTACAGCATAATAATTACTTCTTACCGAAGGGAGAATTGAAACAAAAGGAAACTTATAATAAGCATCGGAAAGCAACAGTCGAAATTTCTATGTCATATAGAGAGGAGAGAAGGCTTGGAAAATTTTACAGTTACTTGCATACTGAAGGTAATAGGTATAAAGGGACACAGCACATAACCTACCAAACGTGCTTGTTTAAATGGTTGACAGAACAGGAATTAGGATAGATAGCAAAATGACAAATTTTACTAAAATCTACAAACAAGAAATTGTGGAGAGCCATGATCGCACCGCCATCCTAAAGGGACACCGTACATAGAAGTTGTAAGAAGAAAAACATAACTCTATGAAAAAAACATTATTTAAAAAAGCTGTTTTTGTTTTAATAAAATTCAAAACATCTTATGCAGAATTGTCTAAAAATTGGGTTTCTACAAAACAGATTTAATCTGAAAGAATCAAGAACTTACGTAAACACTCAGTTTTATGATGTATATGTATGAACGACCGAAGAATTCAACCATATCCTCCTGATTTCAATTTAAACTGGAACATTTTGTCCTTATATCACATCTATAAATATGAATTATTATTTTGGAAAGTAAAAATTTATCAGATCAAGAAACGTAATCTCATAGCATAGGTACCTCCACGAAATATGGTCACAAGTCTTTTGGACAATGAAAGATGGGCTCTTTAAAAGTAGATAGAGATTTAATCCAATAAAGAACATAAAGATCTATGTGTTAACAAGGAATAAAAAGAGATTGTGTTAAGAGCAAAAAACAATGTCTCTTGTGGACATATATGGAAGCTATTTAATGAAATGGAAGATATAAGGAAAGCGATGAGAATTTAAAAAAGAAATCGAAACTTGGTGGTAATTCCGGAAACAGCTGAATAATAAAATTCGAGTCAGAGGTCTCAAATGTAACAATATATTACGGAAAGTAGAAATAAGTATCCAATTTTTATATTCATTTGAAAAACGACTTAATAAGAACATGAGTGAAATGTGAAAAGGTTTTGGGGATGTATTAAAAGGAGGGCTGAGATGCAATAAAATTAATTTAGACGAGAAAATGGAAGGGTTTTTTTTTCATAAGGTGAGAATTTGGCTCCACATAATTTCATAGGGATATTGCTGAGATGATACAGATTACACACACAAGATAAAATAAGGTTTGTTTTTCGTAGCAAGAGAAGGAATAAATTTGGGTGTAGAGTAGACATAAAGGGAGAGATAGACACCATACGCAAGAGAAAATGAAAATCTTTTTTATTATTTAGATTTTTATGACATATTGGGGTGGAGGGTTTATACGTGGTGATATCCACCTAACCTAACAGAAAATCGTGTTAGAAAAACTGCAATGAAACATTAAGTTCATTGAAATATCAATCAAGGCGTGTTTTGGGTCAACTGTACAATTAAAATAATGTCAACGAAGTGTTTTAAATTTGGACAAAAAAAGTGAAATGCTGTAAGTTTTGCTCTCAGCGAAATTATCGGAACAACTTCAGGGCCCTTCACTCTATGAAATTACATCAAAGACTGCTCTTTAAAAGCTGGTGAAATCCCCTGATAGTGGGCTTGCTTCTAGCCCGCTACACCTCTCACTTAGCGTATAATGTCCCTTTTGTGCTCTGAGTTCTAGATCCCCGATGAAAATTATTTTTGAAAGATATTATTCAAAGTTAACAAGTTACATTAAGATAAAGGCATACAAAGAGAGGTTTTACAGATGCTTAGTGAGTGTTATATTTAGTGGAAGGAAGAATTGAAGAAAGTGCAAAGAATTCAATAAAATGTTGAATGTTATGCCTATAAAGTTAAAATGGTTGTCTTGCTTAAATGAAACCGTTGAAAATCGAAGAGAGAAAAAATTGAAGAGCTTAAAATAAATTCCAACAGAATTAAATGTCATGGTAATTTTGAAATTAAAAAGAGTCGGGAAATAATTGGAATGGAAATATGTGCTTTTCTTATTTGTCAGAATTTTTCTGGCTTTGGAAAGATCTGCAGAAACGCCATACAGATACAGCGAGAAAGTAACGAAAAAAGCAAAATTTATGCCAGAACATTACAATGAATATATTTTAAAACTGAAATTATTTAGTAACAATCAATCTCCAAAAGCAATAAACGAAATACAACAGAACATTTTATTTTGTTGCGATGAATAAGCATTAAAATCATAAAAATTAAATATTAGATATTTTTGTCTTCTAAATTCCATCGTCACTCCGTGTGGGTAAAGTTATCTTTTGCAAGCACTTGGCTCATAAATTCGTATAAATGAAAACTAAATAATATATACTATGAAAAAACCTGAGTTAGAAGCATTAACCCCCTTCTCATAAAAATACAAGGAAATTCCCGCTATTTGCAGATTTCAAGTCGAAATGACTTAAAAATTCTTTGTTATAGGATTCTTCATAAAAGCAAATAGAGCTGTTTTGGACTTTCTTGTATTTGTTTTCTTTTTCGTTTCGGTGATTTTTCGCATTTGTTTGTTGGTTGTTTTTCTTTTTCTTTTTTATTGTACTTTTTACGAATGATTTTATTTTCTTTTTATAGCTTATCAGCCGAATATATATTTCGGAATGACGGGGCGTGGTATTTTCTGCGCGATTTTAATCGTATGCTTACATTTTAAGCAATCCTGTTGTATGAGCAATTCTGTTTCTTTTTTTTTGTTTTGTTTTTTTATATATTTGTGATCTGGACTGTGTGTGGGAGAATAATTGAAATTAATTGTACATTGTGCATTATAATTAATTGTGCATTGTACAGCTCCCAGATATCTGTCTCCGAAGTGGCAAGCCATTTCTCACAGGGAAAACAAACAAAATCTACAACAAAATAAAATCCACAACACAAAACAAAAAATCTTTGACAAGCTGTCATGTCTGTAAGAACTGAGTTCTTTTACGAACCACTGTGCTGCATTCGTCTTCCTTAAAACTACAATCTTTAGATTCCAGTTATAAAATATTATTCTTCAAAGTACTGCAAATGTCAAGCATCATTAAACTTTATTCAGTACATAATCTTAGAAATGGTATATGCATTAATTTAAAAAAATCTTCAGCCACTTTACAGCAATTAGAGTTCAATTGGATAATCGGCTTAGAAACAGAGATGGAAGTGGCTCTTTGACAACTGATTTCGATTAACCGATTCCGCACTTGAATTAAACGCACCTTGCTTTCGACGGTGGGTGTGGAGTCGATGAAATGAAATAGTCAATAACTGTGCAAAAGTCTTCAGTCTGCTAACATGAGATAATCTGCCTGCAATGTCTAAAATTTTCAAAAATCTTAAGGAGCGTGTATAATAGTATTCATTGGTCCTGTAAAATAGACAAGTAGTTCGAATCTTGTTATCGCCAATTTTCAAAGTGGTAAATCTTTGATAATATCGGTGATCTCAGTAAGAGGTACCGTTGGAAAAAGTGGAAAAATATACCGTGTAAATTTAGAAGCCGTCTATATTTGTGCTAGTACAAAATCACAAATAATCGTGACTGATGGTGACTTGATGGCTACATAACTGGGGCTTACCGCCATATCATGTTGAAACTTCGCTTCCCGTATAACCACCGAAGTTAAGCAGCGTCGAGCCTGGTTAGTACATAAATGCATGACCGCTTGAGAATCCCAACTGTTGTAATCTTGGATGTGTAATGGAGGTGTAATGGATAGTGTATCGAAAGGCCGAGTTCCAATTCCTGTCAGGTTCGTTATATTAACTTACGCGCAAATACCATTGGGAAAGGTATGAATGCATATCTTATCCATCTATTATCCTAATTATACTTAATTAGTAAGGCTTGTATCAATAAATCGTCATCTGAAAAGACCTCTTAAAATTTAGAAATATTTTCTGCCATTGAATAATCTTCAAATGAATGAAAAGGCAATATAAAACGAATCAATCAATTGAATTTATTGATCTTATTCAGCTACTGATCACGCCAGACTAAGCATTCTCTGTCTCTCAGATACTGTAACTCAGATCCATTCAGAATAGTTACTATATAAACTCCTAGTTGACTATGTGGATGTTCAACCAACACAAATTTGTATGAGCTGGTGTCGGAGATTAACTAACCACCCTAGCAGACGGGCATAGCCAGAAACGAACCATTATTGATTGGGTCCTCAAACTTTTTACTGAATACTCTATACATATGTCTTCTGAAAAGTTCTCAGCCTAACATTTCCAAAAATCTAACCAAATAAATAAGATTATTCTTTTGTAAGTGCTTCTTGGTCAATGCCTCAACGTAAAAATACACAAATATGTGTTCATGCACATGTGCGTCATTTTTTATTCATGTCTGTGTATATGTCATTACTCTGCCACTCCAACTGTAAAAAAATTGAATCATAATTCTTAAAAATCATATAAAATGATTGCACCCACTATTAATAAAATTTGACTAAATATAATACCTTTGAAATGTAACGTCAGTTTAGTCACATTAAATCTACTCCACAGTTATAGCACGTGAATCTAGGCTGGTTTCAATCTTTGGATATCATGGACTGACCATGTGAGCAACAACGAAGTTTTAGAAAAAACAGAAATAAATACGACATTTATACGCAGCATCAAAAAGAAACAGCAGAAATTTGAAACTCACGTGATGCGAAAAATGTTCTTGGAAAATGTGGCACATGTGTGACATATTGAAGGCAACAGGGACAGAGGAACGATTAGCCTAATCTAAAAAGATTGTGTTAATGGTTGGCAGAACAGGGACTAGGAGATATAGCAAAAAGACTAACAAATGGCTACAAAGGACAGGAAAGTTTGGAAATCCATGATCACCCACATTCTGAATACACTACAAATGGGATGAGGATACGTTTCTATGTATCCAGACATATAAATATTACTATAAGTGGAACTATAAACACACACTTATGTTCTGAGTACGGATGCTCACTAGTTAAATTGCGGTCAATCTTTATTGACCATTTAGTAGATACATATTGACGTTTAGTAGATAGTTATTGATTAACATGGACTTGATATGTTGTTTTGTAAAGTTAAAAACCCTCGTATTCTGAGAATAAACTGGTGGTTAATATCTGATGCAAAAGGTAAGAAATTACACGTTATTGCCGCTTTGCGACAGGCAATTTTTAATGCCATGTTACTTCAGGTTATAAACAATTGTGTCTCTCCACGGCTTATTTGCTTAATTGGGCTCACGTTTTTTTTGTTTTTTTTTTTTTTACTGATATGAAATGTAATCATTATACTGAATCACTTTCTTGAACTGCTGCTCGGAAACTTTGTGTCAGAAACATATATATATATATATATATATATATATATATATATATATATATATATATATATATATATATATCATGAGATTCTTGATAAAATAAATGAAACATTTTGGCTTTAGTGACTTTCCCACCACTGTAAAATAGCTTCCCTGTGCTTTATCTATAAATATTTTCATGGTAATTGTTTTGATAAGCTCTCCTCTTTGGTATCTCTACCTCGTGAATTTAGGCGTAGTACCAGATCGGCAACCGTTGAAATAGCTAGAAGTTCTATTTAACTGGTTCTTCTCTCTCACTTCTAGGCAACTGATCTTTCTTCCGACTTCTTGTCTACTGCCAACTACGATCTTCAAAACTTTAAATGCAGCATCAATCGCCATCTTCGGTCTTTCTAAATCTTTTTCTTCTATTGTCTATTCTCCTCACTAACGTTTTCTCATTTTCTTTCACTATTGGTATCTCTTTTCCATCTAAGTGTCATTATCGCCTTACTTGTGAAATTATTGAAAAGAATAAAATAAAATACATTTAACTGCGAAAATAATTACAGATTACATTTCGTGAAAAAATATACATTAAGAAAAATTCGGTAAAAACAAAGAGCTGAACTACTATAAAATATCAGTTTACCTATATGGTCGTAAATTTACGAAAAGCTCCGCACAGATGAAGTGGAAATGTGAAGCAAAAGAAATGTAATTCTACAAAAACATATATCAAGTATGGAGCAGGTGAGTAATTAGGAAGTTTTATATAAAATGGAATAAAAAAAGGGCTCTAGTACATCAGAAATATACAATTGACCTTTCTAGGAAAATAATGAGGAAAGATATCTTGGAGAATTTGACACACACGATATAGTGATTGGAACATAAAGTAACTTACCTAACGTTTTTATGTAGAATATGGCCTGCAAAGGATTTTAAGACGAAGAATATTACTTGGGGCTACAAAGAATAGGAAGATATGGAGAGCCGTTATCGCCTTGATTCACAAGAAGACACGATATATACAAGGAGAATCTACTATCGACTAACCTATCAACTAACCAATAAATAAATATATAATAATATTAGTCTGCTAGAAAAAATTATCGGCCAAACAAAGAAGCTGTACGAAAGGCTGTCGTTAGACCAGCTTTTTTATATGAAAAATCCGAACGTCCAAATTCCAAACTATAATAAAATAAAAATAAGTCATTTGTATTTACAAGCATAAATACATCAATTCAAAAGGGTAAAAAATATGTAAAAAATAGTTTTTGAGTTAAACTTTTAATTAGTTAGTTCACAGAAAAATCTGAGGCATAGAAAAAACTTTGATCTTCAGCGAAGATTCACTGATCTTCCGCGCTGTTGTAGATAATTCATTTAACGCGCCCACACATTATTTTTACATACGCACTTGGAGACGGAGAGGAAAAACAGCTATGTAACCACATCTTTTTTTACGTTTGAACGGCTTGGAGGCAATCGCATCTTTATTGCTGAAAGGCGAAATCTGTGAGTTTTTATTTAGAATGTTTTCCCGAAAGCAGGCTCGAGATAAAATACCCTTTTAGTTTTCTTTTATTAGTCAAATATTTCACATGCTAATGTTACTTCCTAACCAATATACATTATGATTTAAACAGTATGTTGTATTGTGGAAACTTTTTGGCATGTTTGTAAATATTGTTTGTTATTTGGTAGAAAATAAGTTTGGGTGTGTTTTAATATGGTATTTATGTGGGTATGTAATGTATTAGAATTAGTGTTTATTTCCTATAAGCTCTCCCAAAAATAAAAATATAGCGACAGTGGTGTCGTGGTTTGACGTTGATTAATCAAGTGTTCCTCTAATTTAGTAGTCAGAAATTCAAACCCTGGATTAGGTAATGAAATCCATATAGGATGACGCTACAGGAACGGATAAACAACGGCATCATAAGGCAAAGCTAACAGTCATCAGCTCATATTAAATATCTATACTAACCAAAATAAGGGTCAACTGAAGATGACGAGAACGCTTCTGTGAAATGAAGGAACCCTATTACTCTAGGACGATTCATGAAGAAAATGTCTGTAAATGTCCGAATAAAATCAATCCCCAGTAAATACTTTACGGGCTCATGTAGTCGCAGCTAGAAGATGCTACCTCATTGTTATCACCGACACTTTCCAATATTTTAATAACTCCTATGGTCCAGTTCTACTCGCAAAAGGCACCTGAAATTACTTCACGTCAATTAGATTAGGATACCGTTGAGAATTAGTGAGTTAGACTATTAGGACATTCCTATCATAGTCAAGACTAGTATTACTGAGTGTTTTATTGGTATAAACTTCTTCCAAAAAAATCTAGACTTAGTAAATGACAATTATGCACGCTACTATTTACTAACAATGATCAATTTTGGCACAACATCACAACTCTGGGAAATTCATAAGAATCAAAGTCTCAACTCAGTTGTAATAATCTACCAGACGAGCACCTCACGGGTATGCATCAATTTTAGCGGCCTGTTCATTGTGCGATTAACTTGCCAGCTGAGTTAAACTAATGTGAGCTTCGAAAACATCTATCAGGCATCAACCATTGACAATAGTTTACCGAAATATTGTTATCGCAAAACACTCAAAACAGATTTGGATATGTCTATATACAGTACGACACAAGAGAACGTGTACGTAGATAAGTTTTTCTGTCTTTTTTTTATTGAAAATATGTCTATCTTCTGAGTTACTGCATCACATTCTAGCGAGATACAGACGAAGAGATAAATCGACTGCTTCAAAAATAATTCTGGATTATCTGAGATAGAGAGACAAAATTGAGATGATTAATTAACGATATGTACACACGTATTGATAGATATAAAGATTGATATTAAGATTTAGATATATTTAGATACCGAAAGTAATGTCATATAAGACGTTCCCTGTATTATTATAACATTATAAATTTAAGCTAGGTGTAAGTACATTAACACTTTCCATACCTTAACTTCGCCTATAAAACTCAGGCAGTATTTTTAGCCCTTTTAGTGGTAAAGATAAGGGCGTCTTAGATGCTATCAACGAAAGTAGATAGTGCAAATTTCTCTTGCTTTGCAAACGCTGACACACATAAAAATAACAGCAAACAGATATTTATGGCTGGAACATTTTCGAGACATATTTTTTCCACGATGGGGAACATACATGAATATTATTACAAAGCATATTTAATCGAAAAATATTATTTTTCCTTTATTAAAAAACAAAACAAAAAAAAACATTTATATTCCTTTCTTTTTCTTGAGCAGAATAAAACAGCCATTCTCTTACTTGGAATCGAAAAGGCTGTTTGAACAAGGGAATATTCTTTTTTCATTATTTGAACTCTT